TTGGAGCCAGATCGTCTGGTGTTGACGGCTGTCCCAGCCCTATAAGGAACCTCGTGGACGCCCTGGAAGTCTTTCATGGTAGCCTGGATGTTATGTTTAGTCGAGGGATTAATTATAGCTCCTGGATGAGCTGTTTGGGTCACGGTGTTGGGCTTATAAAAACATCAGTGACAGGCAGCGCCGGCCAACGGGTAAGGCAGAAGTAGAGGTGAATGTTGGCCTTTGCACTGAGGATTCGGGCAAGTGTTTCTGGTGGATTTAATGACAGATGACATGTATTTAATACTCAACCCCTGCCTCAGTACTRCTCTGCGCAAACCTGTTCAGGTTTTCGAGCTGACTGGACTTGGTGTTGTGAAGTCATTTGTGTTTATGCCCAAACAGAGAGATGTTTTGGGGTTTGGTGACCTTGACGTAGTCTCCCCTGTTCTCTGAAAGGATTTTCCTTTACAGGACGAGTTTCTTAGAGACACTAGTGTAGTAATTAGTGCAGTATTTGGTGTCTKATCTTCTTACTCTTCTTAAATTAGAAACCATGATATAAAGCTCCTATATGAAATGCACTTGTGTACATGCACCTTTAAAGTTTTCAGAGTTTATTGAGTTGAAAGAGTTTGGATGCAGCATGTTTGCCGTAGGGATGCAAGTATACATGCAGTTGACTACTCAGGGTGCAGTTTCCAGAATAACTGATAGCAGAAACACAGAACCACAGCACACACTGTSACACAAGCTGTGTCACATTTAGCACAGGTTTACGGGAGCCCTTGGAACCTGCTGATGTATGATGCTCTCCTTTTCTTTTTATTTTTACCTGTCTCAGTAGTAGGATTTAAAAAAAAAAAAAAAGAAAAAAAAGAAAAAGGTGGTGGTTTAAAATGGATTAAATAGCTGTACATAGGAAAAATAACGCTCATTTTAGTGTGTCTTTGCTAATAATAACTAGCAGGAAGAATTCCTTTTTCTGAAATACTTCTTGCAACAGAAAGTGCTGTAGTTCAAATGCTGTCCTCCCTCTACAAATTCTGCTAGAAACTTATTTTTACTGGGCTTCTAGAAGGGGTTGAAGCTGTGTGGGAAGGTGCTGCCTACCTGGGTATTCCAGTGCTGTTCATTTCCTTATGGAGAGATGGAATGTGAACCCGCTCTGTCTGCAGAGACCAAAGCATTTTTTGGACATGTTTATACTAGAATAAGTTTATATTGAAGTATACGAAACAGCGAGGGCTGTCTTTGGTCTGCCCTGTTTAAACTCCCACTGCATGAGCTCAGTCGAGCTTTTTGTGGCCAAGGGTGAAGGATGAAACTTTCGTGGGCGCTCAGGGTTCACTTGGTTTTTATTCACAGCCTTGTTTGTGAGATGCCTCTCGATCCTTTCTAGTAGCATGTAGCCCCCTTTAAAAGTTAGAGCTGGACTATGCACATGTGAAAATCCTACCRTTAGCCTGTATTTTACACGCTATTATTATTATTYACAGAATCCCAGAATGGTTGAGGTTGGAAGGGGCTTCTAGAGATCATCTAGTCCAACCCCCCTGCWCMMGCAGGGACACCCAGAGCACGGGGCACAGGGCGGCATCCAGGYGGGTTTGGAGACCTCCAGAGAAGGAGACTCCACAGCCTCCCTGGGCAGCCTGTGCCAGGGCTCTGCCACCCTCACAGGCAAGAAGTTCCTCCTCACATGCAGATGGAACCTCCTGTGTTTCCACTTGCACCCACTGCTCCTTGTCCTGTCACTGGCCACCACTGAGAAGAGCTTGGCCCCTTGCTCCCTACATTCTCCCCTCAGGTGTTTGTACATGTGGATCAGATGCCCCGGGGTGACAGCCGCGCACCGTCCCTGCACAAGCGCCTGCTCCGTGCAGCCCTTGGGTGTTCCGCGTGGTGCCGGGGACGCCGCGCGGCCTCGGCCTCGCACAGGGACTCACTCCTGGCGCCGGTGCCGCGTTGCCCCCGCGCAGCGGCCCGGGGCGCCCGGCGCCTTCCTTGCAGCGCGGCTGTTGGCGGCGGGAGGCGCAGCGGCCGCCCGGCCGTCTCCGTAAGAGTCCCCAGCGCTGCCTCCGGCACCGAGCGGGATCTCCGGCGCTGCCTCCGGCACCGAGCGGCACCGGCGGGCGCTGGGGAAGCGGTTGGTGCCGGGGCGGCCGCTGCGGAGCCGCGCGGTGCCCGGGGCCGCCGTCCCCTCTCCCTTGGAGCAGGGCGCTCCCGCTGCTCCTCTGGCCATTCCTGCCTCTCCTGCCTGCCTGCACCTCTGATGAGAGCCGCAGGGTGCCAGGAGCGCCGTCCCTGTCTGCTTCCTCCCTCCTTACCTTTCCCCATTAAATGCTAAACCTCTCCTTTCTCGCCTTATCACTGAGTCTTTCCTCAGCAGCTGACCTGCAGGTTTTGTCCCAGATGCCAAGGGACAGACACCCTTGGGAAGCTGCTGCTGCAGATCCATGAATCCAGACTCCCCAATTCTCGCTCCTCATGGGCTGCCTAGAATTCCCTAATGTAACCTAGAATTCCCTAATGAAAATACAGTGCATTTTTTGACAGCCTATCTTGGATCTTAGCAGCAAGTCTCCAGCAAAGTGACAAAAAAAAACCCCAAAACAGATGTTCATCCCCATCCAAGCTGGATTCATGGATTACCACATGTTCACAATGGAAACTAGCAGAAAGGTTATTTTTTTAGCGGAAAGGCTCTTTTTAAACTCTGTCAAGCTCCTTTCTTGCTTAACATCATGAGAATTGGGTCTAATTCCAGTGAGAGCGCTGGAGCAGGCGATCAGAGCAAGGCCTTTTCCTGCTTGCTGCTCCATAATGCTGCTGATGAGTGGCAGCAGCTTCGGAGGCGAGTTTCCTGCAGCCGGGGACAAGGTAATGCCAGCAGGTGTGGAGATGCTGCCACATAARGGCCATGGAGACTGCCTGGCTCCCTGCTCCGTAGCTCAGTGCACCGGTGCGAGTCCGGGTGTTTCGGCACTGTTAGTCCCTTGCACCGAGTTATCCCTGGAGTTCTTGCGAACACTTGGCGTTTACCTGTGCCGAGCATGTCGGGATCCAGCATGGAGGGGTAAGGTGGAGTCATTTTGTCTGTGTGTGTTCCCTAGCGAACGGTCCGTGTTTTCCTCGCTGGTGTGGAGGGACAGGTGGAAACGCTTCATTCCAGCACCGCCTCCTGCCCGCGTGGCCTGGAGCTGCAGCCCAAGCCCAGCTCCATGCTGGGCTTGCTCGAAGGCAGATGGAAACAGGGCTCGAGCCCCAGCCAGGCCGTGTGGCAGGTGAGGGCACAGCCTCTCTACCCGGGTAAAACTCGTCACTCCCAGCGCTTCTGGCACGACGTGGGTCACCAGACCTACAGGCAGGTGTGCAAGGCCCCCATATGTGAGGGGTCTGCCTGAGCAAGCCCCTCGCAGACACTTGGCCCCTTTATTTAGTGCTCGCAGCAGATCTGTGGGGCTGTGGTGACCCAGCTTGCAGGAGGGAGCTGCGCGCAAGCCCAAGGCCCCACTGTGCGCGTGAGCGTGGGGGGATCTGCCCCACAGTGGTCACCACAGAGACCCTCTGCAGGGGTCCCTCGATGATGATGATGTGTTAGACGTGGAAGGTAGGGCAAAAACAGTAGCCTCGAGTGGACCTTCAGCCGTAACCTTGGTGCTTTCCCGCTCCTGATTTCTCTCCTTGTTCCCGCTCCTGATTTCTCTCCTTGTTCTCGCTCCTGATTTCTCTCCTTGTTCCCGCTCCTGATTTCTCTCCTTGTTCTCGCTTCTGATTTCTCTCCTTGTTCCAGCTCCTGATTTCTCTCCTTGTTCCCGCTAGTCGTCGTCTCTGTGTCCTCTTCCTCCGCCTTCGCAGGCACCTCCTCAGAGGAGCGCATTCCTCGGATGCCATGGAGCCCGGTGTCCCCCGGTGTCACCCAGTGTCCCCTGGTGTCACTTGGTGTCCCCGGGTGTCACRCCAAGGAAGCGCCTGCGCTTTGGCTGCTCGGTCGGATGCTGACAGGGCTGAGGGGGCTCCGCGCGGCCTTCGCTCGCTCGGGCCCTTTTCCTCTGTAGCTCTAGCTCCTTGGGAGCCGGCCGTCCCACGGCTGCCACGAGGGTTGCGCCTCAAGCCGGCAGAGCCGAAAGGAGCCGCAGTCCGTGGCTGCGAAGCTGAGGCTGGTGCTGCCCCCTCGGCAGGCAGCACGTGCCCGTTCTGCGAGTACAGGCATCAAATAATCGCAGCGTGAAAATCGCTCTCTCACTTCCCTCACGTCTGTAACGGCGTTCGGATCTGGAAAGGGTTTGTACATCACATCCGAGTGCTCCTGTGCCCCCTGAGAACCACATCCCGTTTTTCCTGCTTCTCCCGCTCCCCCGCCGCAGGTTACTTACCCAGCTGTTCTGTTCAGGGCCTGTTGGGCAAAATGGAAACAAACTGCCCATCTGTATCTACAACCCCCTGAAGTGCCGACAAAGAAGAGAGACGCCTATGGATAAATTCAGATATTCAGTAAAATATAGATTTGACTTACAAGATCTAAGTGGAATAGAAAATTGTGGCTTCTTTTTTTTTTTTTTTTTTGATGCCGTTAATACACCATAGTATTAAAATAATATTTACCTCATGGCTGAAGTATTTTCTTCGTGCTTTGCATTGCTGGCTTGTTCCCAATAAGATATTATTGGAATCCGCCTCCGTCCCCCTCGGAAGAGAGGACCCGCGGACAGGTTGACATGTTGGCCCGCACGAGGCGGCTCCGCTGCGCCCCGGCGGGCTGCCTCTGTGAGCAGGAGGGAGCGAAGCCGCTCTGCAGCGTCCAAGCCTCGGCTGCAGCCTGGAAAAGGAATGTGATCCTCGGCTTCCAGCGCCGCTCCGTAGATCCCAGCGCGAGCTCTTAACTTGAAGCTCCAGCCGGGCTCGGCGGCAGGCGCTGTGCGGGGAGGGCAGCGGCCGCACGGGGCTCTGCCTCCCCCGGCCTTTCTCGTGGCGTAACCTGCAGAGCAGAGAGGCGCGCGGAGGGCACGGAGAGCAGCATGGATTTCCAAAGCAGGGCCCGTGCTTACGTGATCCCGGAGGATGAGGAGATGCCCCGCGAGGCCGCCCGCGATGCCCGCAGCGCCGCGGGGAGCGGCGGCGAGAGAGCCGTGTCCAAGCTGCAGCGCAGGCACAGCGACATTAAAGTGTACAAAGAGTTCTGTGACTTTTATGCAAGATTGTAAGTTGGTTTTGTTCGGCGGTAACCGCGGTAAAATGATTTGTGTGTCTTGCATCACCTGAGCTCAGCACAGACTTTCAGTCGCTCTCAAGGGCAGCCTCCGCCGCTGTTCTGCGTTCGATGCGTTGCCTGTTGCAGTCACCAACTAGTACTTGAGCCCCTGCTGTAGACTTAATCTTATTACATGTGTTGGACATTTGTATTAGTAGCTGTTCCTGGCTGGGGATTTGTAGAGCTGTCTCTCTGACTTCTGAACTCTGAGTTCAGACCATTTGCTTATTGTGGAGAAATATGTAGACTATATACTCTGTCTACTCACAGAAGTGCTGTGCAGATCGGTATTTTTACATATATGTGTTTCAAATTGGGCAAATGTTTTTACAATTCTAGAAGGAAAGCTTTGTGCTTTCATGTAGTTATTTTCTAAGCGTCAGTGTTTCATGTTTGGATTGTGTTTTTCATCTGTCAGCACAAAACATTGACTAATTTTTTAAGCTTGGCACCCTTCATGCCCAAGAACTGTTGACGTGACGATGAAAGATCCCAGTTTAGGTTGTGGTTACTGTTCATCCAGACTGATGGGTGGGATGGGTGAAGAGACTGCTCGCCCCCATAGAGCACCCGCTGTCCTTGGGGAGCCCTGGCTGCCTCTGTGCTTGACCACTGCTTATACCCGTAATCCTTGCAGCTTCTYGGGGTGCTTGGGGGTTGTTGTGTCTGCTGGGGGACGTCTCTGGCCTCACCTTGTCTGTGAGACTCATCCACTCRTTTCACTGAGGGGCTGGTGAATATTTTTGGTGTCATCAGTTGCTTCTGCTCGGGACAGGATAAAGAAAACAGTGAATAGCAGTAACTCCTCGGATGTGACCTTGTGTTCAGCCCTGCCATTGCACGTGGTAAGAAGCAGATGAAGGGCACCTGTTCTGAACCAGGTGTGTGTGTTTGCTCCCTCTGCTGCTGTGCAAGGAATTGATTCGGTTGCTGTTTGATCCAGTGGGAGCCAAGAGGTTTTAGGCCCTTGGAGGGAAGGATTCCAGGCATCTGGAACACAGGAGTCCTTTGCATCTGCAGGTGCCCCACCAGTTTTCCTCTGTGTATCCAAACGTGCTCAGAATGGATGTAGGCAACTTGTGCATGTCTCGGTACAGGATGTGCGTGTGTGCAGTTAAAATAACATGGGTTGTTTAATAAGCTGCCATATCGATGTTTGAATTGCTGTTTTCTCAGTAGCACTCAGACCTAGACCATTGCCCTGTATTTGTTCTCTGCTGTGAAGTGATGCTGGGGCAGAGAGGTGATCTGAAAGGCACAGCTCTGAGAGTGGGGGTGTAAGGAAGAAAATATCTGCCACGTGAAAATCAAATAAACCTTTTCCAGGATCTAGATTGCTGGTTAACTGTGGTGCAGCTGGGCTGCCTCTCGCAGATGTGGCCTTCATCCCAGGGAAGGAGCTAATCCCTTGATATTTTGCAGGTACCACCCTGTCGTTTTATAGCCACGTGCCTTTTAGAAGCGGCTACGGTGGCTCTAACACGGAGTCCCATGACAGCCTAAATTGTAAAATTAAACTGAATTTGTAAAGTGACTCTAAGTTATGCAAAACCTGTGTAAGGAGTAATCATTGACTTTCTCTGCTTTTACTTCCCAGTAATTTCTGCTAGACTAAATAGCTTATATGCTTTCATATTGTTGTCTTAAAGCTTTTGAACCACGGTTGTTATGTATATTTTAGGATYATATTAGCATTTATGTTTACCAGTGTGAAAATTATTAACCTTTATTGTAAGGTTTTAGTTATTTCTGCTGTTGGTGCTAGTTTTCAGTGATTCTAATGTATTTCTTCATGTTTATAGTACCCAATTGAATGACTTGCGTTTGACCCTCATTAAGCACCTTTGAGTGCACCTGCAATGRTGTTCCTGTCTGTTTTTCAAATTAAAAAACTATCAGCCAGTGTTGGAGGGGTTTGGCATTGAATGGCCGTTTCATTTCGGAGGGAATGCCACAAGTCAGTAAATCTGGGAAACGGGAGAACTTCCATTGAGCAGCTTAGCGTTAGGCTGAGACAGTTGCCTTCGGAAGGGGATGTGTTGAATGGGCGGCGGGGCRTCCTCTGGCTGACACCTCTCCCGTTTGCCCCCCGTGTGTGGCAGCAACATGGCCAATGCCCTGGCCAACGCCGCCTGCGAGCGCTGCAGAGCCGGCTTCGCGCCCGCCGAGAAGATCGTGAACAGCAACGGCGAGCTCTACCACGAGCAGTGCTTCGTGTGCGCCCAGTGCTTCCAGCAGTTCCCCGAGGGGCTCTTCTACGAGGTAGGTGCTGCCCCAGCTCCTTGCTTTGCTTTTTTTCATCCTCGCACGAGAAGGAGATACAGACAGGTGCGGAAGTGCTGTGGTAAAAATYGTGCTCTGGAAGACTGTGCCCGGCAGAGAGAAAAGAAGAGTAGGAATATTTTTGTGCAGCCCTGGAGGGTGTCGGCGTGTGTGACTGACTTCGGTGTGCAATCTGCTGTGGTCAGAGTTGAGAAAAAACTACTGGGGATTTCTCTCTCAGTGCCAGATTCTTCCCTACGATCTGTAAAGGTGATCTGTATATATTACGAGAAATCCCAGAACGGTTGAGGTTGGAAGGGACCTCTAGAGATCACCCAGTCCAACCCCCTGCTCCAGCAGGGACACCCAGAGCACGGGGCACAGGGCGGCATCCAGGTGGGTTTGGAGACTTCCAGAGAAGAAGACTCCACAACCTCCCTGGGCAGCCTGTTGAAATGTTCCTCTTGGAGCAGAATTGTCYTCCAGAGCGAAACCCCAGCCTTGCCTAGCCCTGGGAGGTTTATTGCTGAGCGCTGCGGGGCCAGAGCTGCAGCTGAAATTTGGTCCCTAAGTCAGTCCCTTGCTGCTGAGGGACAGGCCTGCAGCCACCCAAACCCAAGAGGGAGCAAACTCCAGTGCTCCAAATGAGCAGCCCTTAAATTCTTTCCAAAGCAAAAGCAACTCCCCTTCGCTTTCTCCCTCCCAGATGGATTGCTCTCAGCTCAGATGTACACACTATTTTGATATTAATACACCTTTCTTTTCACTCCCCTTGTCATGAGGGTTAAGATTCAAGTACCAATGGGCTTTAGACTAGCTCATAAATATGAAGGAATTGGTGTAAAGAGGGGTAGAGCCGGTGAGATRGAGAATTATTAGCTGAAGCTTTCAGGTGGGGAGGGGAGCAAAGGCTGAGAAAGATTAAAGATAGTATTCTCAATAAGTATCAAATTTCTTTTGGCATTTCTGAAAATCTTATTCTAATCTGCTTTCTGTGATCCCACCGGAAGCCTGGAGCAGCTCTGGGAATAGTTCCAATCCAATGCTTCTGCCTAAAGGTATTCCTGGTTTACATACACCTATAATGCAGAGTCAGGATAGGCTCTTGTGCCAGGTTTTCCTTTCATGCCTACTTTATGTATAATCCATTTTACTCAGTGCTTCACAGCACTCAGCATAGCAGCTCACAAAACAGGTAGAGAGAAGGTCATGCTCAGAGAGTTCCTAGTGCAGCATGAAACAGTGGTTATAGGATTTGTGTCRTGCCATGGAAGGTTGGCAGTCTGCTAAGAGCACAAAGCTCTGCTCTCACATGGTATGGCCGTCACGAGCCCAGCAGTTTGTTTTCACAGCAATATATTTAATCAATTGTACGGATCAATGTCCTTTGGTGATGGGGCAGCCAGGGAGGAGCGGCTGGTGAGGAAGAGCCTCGCAGAGGGGATTCCTGGGACTTGCTTTCCTGGAGGATCACAGRATGTCTCTTAGGGATAGTGTTGCACAGTCTGTGGTAAATGAGCCACTAGTGGTCCATAAGACATCAAAGGTGAGCTGCAAAGCAGAGGCAATTAAAAACAAAGCAAAGCAAAACACCCCCGAGATACTTGCACAGGATCTTGCAATTGCTGACATGGGTTGCTGCCTGCACGCAGGCGGGATAAGGAGGCAGCCCTGACATGTTAAAACCTGAGGCAGGCGTAGAGGGACACCAGGGTTTAAAAACTAAAATATGTGTTCGAGTAAATTTCTGTAAAACAACAAAATATTGTTTCTCTAAATGATGGGTACTTTATTTATCCTATTCCTGACCATGGAAAAAAAAAAAAAAAAAGAGCACCTAACGGCAGAATCAGGCAGTGCATAGGCCTCTTGCAGAGAGTTGCATGGTCCTTGGAGATAAAAGTTTGAGGAATTCTGCTCCAGGAAGCCTTTATCTTGTCCCGGAGGAGATAAGCCCTCCCGGCAGGGCTGCATTCAGCAGGAGGATATATCCAGCTCCGGATATCGTCCTGTCTGCAGCTCCCGTGCGGCCCTGGGTGCATCCACATCAGCAGGGGCAAACAGCCTGCTGGTGCTGGGGGCACAGGGGCCTTTTGCTTCCTCYTGCCACGGTGTTCACACCCCTGTGCGTTTTGGTTGGCTTTTAAGCTCTCCTTTGCTGCAAAGTGATGCTTCCTGACAGAGACAGCAAGGCCGAAGTGAGTGCAGGTCGATGGTCCTGGGAATGAAATTAGGCCCTTGTACTTGAACCTGTTTTGGTTGGAGTTCCTGGGCTTGTTTTCAGGCTGTGCAGAGGCTGCAGTGGCTTTGTTTCTCAGAAATACTACCTGCCAACTGGGAAGTTTAAGATAAGAATCGGTAGTTTCTGTCACATCCATTACAGAAATAAAATGATTAGGAAAAAGATTTATATGTGAACGTCAGGTCCTCCTCCTCATCCTTGTGCCTCACGGGCAGTGTCCCCCATTGGAGCTTGCAGCCCTTCTCCGCAGGGTGGCTGTTCTGCCTCGGAAGCCTGTGGCAGGTCCTTCCTGTCTGCCTGCTGAGAGGCCCTTTGGGGTGTCCCAACGGCTCCAAGTGCCTCCGCACCCTCTCCGTGCGGCTGGAAGGGCCCTCGCTCCGCACTGGGACAGCTCCGCTCAGGGACAGGGTTGTTGGTGGTGATGGTGCAGAGGCATCTGGACGTGCAGCGGGTTGGTTTGCTTCTCTGAGCAGGTTTCCCCTGGGTAAATGGGCCCTGCTGATAGCTCTGAGCYGGTGCTTGTGCCGTGTCCGAGCTCAGGCAGCCTCCCCGCGGTGACCCCCAGCTCCCCGCCGAGGGCACGTTCTGCCCGCGGCTCCCGCGGGAGCTGCAGCCTCCCCGTAGGTCACTGCTCAGCCCGGCGCGCTCGTGCTGCACCGGTGAGCTGCAGCTCTGCCCCGCTGGCAGCAGCGTGTGCACGTGGCGGGGGGACAGGAACGTGGGCCGCCCTCCCGTGCTGCTGGATGTGTCACCTGCTCGAAATAGTTTTTGGGGAAGGGAAAGACTTCCAGAGCACTTTTGCAAACCTTTCTTTTTTTCTTTCTTTTGAAAGTGCTTACAGCAAAGTAACAGTCTTCTTTTCTAGCAAAGAAAACATCCATTTCCAGTTTCTCCCATTTTCGAGAAAGGGCCTTTAGAGTTCTTTTTGGCACCTGGCTTTCCACTAATCTAGAAACCTGGATATCAGCAGGAGTCCCTGCTGGAGCAGGGGGGTTGGACTAGATGATCTCTAGAGGTCCCTTCCAACGTCTGTCCTTCTGTGATCCTGTGTTGGGGAATGTTGGGTGCAGGAGTATTTGATTTGTGGGCCTACAGCAGTTGAATGATCTCGACCTTAAAATACGTGCTGTGGGATTTGCTGCCGGAGTTTATGGTTTTCTGTGACTGATGGGCTGCACATCCACCCATGAACCACAAGGTGCAGCATAAATGAACCCCAAAAGATTGAAAATATAAACAGGAGTTAATGGTAACCTACTCTACCTGCCTGACACAAACCAGAGGGGAAGAAAACCTGTTTGGTCTGCACAGACCAACTCTGGCTCTGAAGCCCAAGCAAATCCATGGCATCACCTGCTTACACAAAATAAGAAGCTTTCTGATTTTTCCATTTGGAATGGTTGTTTGGCAGGAAGCAAGTAAAATTCACACTGAACCAGAAGCTTCTAGTTTTCCTTTGAGACAGTAACATCCCTCTATCTTTCAATTAAATAGAAAACTGCAGTTAAAAATGTCATCTGTTTTAGATTATTACGCATGAAAAACACTCCATACATTTTTTAACTTATGCTTCTGGAAGCTTCTGTGCAGAACAGGGGTTTTTCTGTTCCTAGCAGGCGTGATTCAGGAGCACAAGGGCTAAGTTTTGGATCCCACATTTCYAGTGACTCGTAGGCTGTTTCACTGAGTCACCTCCTTGCTGATAGCTCTGTATATTGTACCAATAATTACTGAACCCATATTGCATTTCACGTGAGGGATTTTGTGGTATAAAACARCTAACCTGGAAGCATATTACTGTATTTTCTACCCATACACCAAAACTTCTTTTGCAGATAATATTTTATGCAGTTTGCTTTGTGTTAAACCCAGGAAAAAGGAAGGAGAGTGGGGGCTTCCTGCTGTCTCCCTTTTCCTAGTGTTTTAATCTGAGACATCCAAATCCAAACATTTTATAGCATGCCTAATATTGCGTTTCTGGTTTTAACATGCTACTTGGCATTTCTGTCTGGTAATGAGGTGCCTGAAGGTATCTAAACATTTCCCTTCRTTTCAGGACATACTTGTCTACATGTTTTTACCTATTCTTCAGCTAAGCTGCTAATGCAGTGCTGGAGAATTCATTTGAACTTRTTTTTCCCACATGCTTTTTATTTTTTCTTTTCTGTATGAGCTTGAACTACAACTGAACTTTTCTAAGCTTTAAGTAAAGTCAGATCCAAATCTAAATCYCTTAAGATCAGCTTCTCTGTTTCATCTCACTGTTTTGGTGAATTTTGCCCCTTAAAATTTCCTCAGATAAACATGATGAAGGAAAAGCATTTATTTCCCTTCATGTTTTGGCTCTGCTGCTGCAGAGATAAACTGCAAAGATATCTGTCCCAGGGTATTCTTCCTCCTCCTGTACTTATTTCCTCCCGGGTACTGGGCCATTTTTACAGGAAATGTAGAGTGGGGAAAAGATCAAATGGGTTCAGGGAAAACGCTTCCCCCTCAGAAAGGTTTCTGTAAGCCAATTTCCTGCCCACCATTCAGGTAGTTGCATCAGCTTTTCAGCAGACTGTCAAAATCTAAACATCTGTTGTGATATAAATGGGTGACACAGAAAACTGCTCTATGCTCTCAGCAGTTTTTAAGTAATAGAGTTTTATTAACACTGCATGGTAGCTAGCAGCTCAGTTAAGGTGAGTGAATTTAATGCCTGTTTTTCTAGCACTTAGCCTGCTTTCTGTGCGACCTCTTATCTTCTGCTACCCAGTTGCGTCTGGAAACAAGCTGGTGTGTTACAGTATTTATGTTAAGGGCATGTTCCTTATCTCTAAATCTTGGCTTGTGTTCCATTTGCAGTTTGAAGGGAGGAAATACTGCGAGCACGATTTTCAAATGCTGTTTGCCCCGTGCTGCCATCAGTGCGGTAAGTGTAACCCCACGGGGAAAGGCTGCCTGTGACCCTCGGTGGGACACCAGCGTGCACGGCCAGGAAAGGGCTCTCAGCCCTTGTCCGTGTTCCCCGGGAGGCAGCCCTGTCCAGCCGGGCACTGGCGCTTCCAGAATGAGCCGGACTCCGGAGAAATTTGGGAGYGGCTTTCGCTAAAGGTTATCAAACAATAGGATTTTTAAAAAAGGGTTGTATGACTTGAGTGAGTAGCTTGGCTGTTGATTCAGTGATGCAGTGAATAGGCTGTTCATGACCTCGTGATTGCTAATAGGATAAAACCTCTCCGCGTACAGGCATGCACTCATCTATGGCCTTTCTCATGCAGCTGAAACCCTCTAGCCAGCCTTTGCCACCTGTTTTGACTGTTGTAACTCATCCAAATTGTCCTATTCCAAGAAGCTAGGCCAGTCTTTACCATCTAGTCCTATAATCATCTCATGATTCAGTCTTTGTGAAACACATTCCTGTAAGGCTTCAACTTCTGATGCTTCCCCTGGGTGACACTGGGGACAGTGTTTTATTTGCCCTTCTTCAAGTAAATGTTTGCATCCTCTACATTGTAATCATTTTGAAGGTTGTGCTTTTTATTGTTTTTTTATTTTTTTTTTCCCCACAGTGCTCTCTGTGTGTGACATCTTTCTTGGCCAGGACTGAGACTTCATTGATTTACTGGTGCTTAAACTGGTCTTGCAGCTCTTTTTTTTGTGTGTGTGTGTGACACCCGAACAAGTGTCACGACTTTCACTTGTCTTCCACAGCCCTTCCCCTGTGCAAATGRAAGGGTTAATATTGAGAAAGAGGGGAGCAGATGCTCAGGGCCTTTGCATTTAAAGCTGTAGATTTCAACGAGTAGAAGCAGAAAGAGATTGGGGCAATTTGTGAGCAAAATGAAGGTAGTGACAAGCCAAGTTCTTCACTGTGTTTTCTCACAGGCCAATTGCTCTTTGTGTGTGAGGGATCCATGTGCTCTTCCATTCACTCCACAGGGTCCCCTTCCTCTGTCCCRTGCTGTTCCCTTGTGCCAGGGCTTCTCTGTCTGCATTCAGCCCTGTCAGGAGTTCTGTGAAGCCTCATAACCAGCGCTCAAAAACCCAAGCCCTGCTCTTGCTCCACAGCAGGGCCCTCCACACGCAGCCACGTTCGCTCCTCTCCCCCAACATTGGTCCCCCTTTGGTGAGCCAGGCCAGGGGACCTTCTCTCCTCCGCACCCAGCAGTTTCTTTGCAGGAGGCCTAACCCGCTTCTTCTGGGCATGGTAAGTGCCCTGGCCAGGGGGAGTAGGGAGGAGGCCACGACGTATCTCRAGTTATTCTTGCTCAGCTGGCTCGGCTCCTCGCCTGGAACAGCTTCAGCAGCTCTTGCCCTGGTTCCTTACAGCACTAGCTCTGTTAAAACCTCATCAGTTTTTTTTTACTGGCTTGCTCCAACAAATGGATTCGGGGTGAGTGAATTAGCCGGAGCGTGTGACTCAGCACGGAGCTGAGTGTCACTCTTGGTTTCATGTGCTTGTCACCTGCCTGGTGGCGGCACTTGGACGTCTCCGCGATCTGCAGGTGCTTCGGGCCACGACCGAGGCTGCTCTAGGAGCCCGAGTCCCCGCGTGCTCGAGACGGAGCTTTCGCAGCAGCGCTCTGGAGTCTTCACCCAAATCCTCATGGAGAGAAGGATTAAGTCACATGTGCAGTGGCCCTGGCTCCTCTCCAGCGCAGTACACTCACCCTGTGCATCATAACTAATTTTCATGCCAGTTTCCTAATGCCTCACAGGACAGCACTCCGAAGTCCATAAATCTATTCTCCAGACTTATCTTGAACCCTTGGTTTATTTGCAGTTTCCCAAGCTGAGAACTGTTGCACGGGGAGTGCAGAGCCCCTTCAAATCTTGGTTTTCAGACCCTAGCATGGTAGAAATATGTGAAAGACGCAATAGAAGTTTGCCTTTCTCCGAAAGAAAGATGAAAAATGGTTAGGAGTTGAGGAAACCATGTTATGTAAGGAACTACATGTATTTTAAAAGAGTTGGAGATCAGAAAAATAAAAATGGGAGGGAATGAAGAGCGTATCTGAATAGAGAAAGCAAAGCATGTATAGAAGTAATGGTATATAAAGACCAGAAGGTTGCAAGTCGGTGAGGACATTTGTTTTTGTCCCCTGCCAAAGGAACAACYGAAACCCTACCCCAGAGTTTAGAAYCAGAGCTGTAGCACCAACAGGAATATATCCTACCAGATGAGGAGGAGGGTTTTAGGCAAGGAGGGGATGATAATGTCATTGCAATGGTTCAMCTGTGGTTTTCTTTTTAACTTTTACATCCTGGTGTTGTGTTTCTTACAGGCGAGTTCATTATTGGTCGTGTTATTAAGGCTATGAACAACAGTTGGCATCCAGAATGCTTCTGCTGTGATATCTGCCAACAAGTGTTGGCAGATATTGGATTTGTCAAGAACGCTGGCAGGTAGATCTCCACCCTTCCTTCTACTAGTGTTCGTTAGTAACATTAATTGAGGGGTGGGAATCAGAGGCTAAGGTTCCTAAAGCTTTCCAGCCGCCATGAAGTAAGTGAAGTGCTTTTGTGGGCAGGAAGTCTTAAAAGGGCATCTCAAAACTGAAATGTAAACATTAAGAATGAACATTTCACAATAAACATGCATGATGTTGACAGTTGATCATCTGCTTCATCACCTGATTTCTTGCAAAAAGTGTGTGTCTAGCTGATGCTGTTCTGGAGCCAGCAGGGTACACTGTGATATAGAACAAGAGGGAAAACGTTCTCAAAGTGCTGAGAGTGAAGCAGGCAAGTGGAGAGTCACATTTTTCTGCTACAGTTCTAGTAACTGATGTTTTCAAGTCACAGGCATTGCGGTAATTAGATACTTAAATAAACCCTTCAGTAGTTTGTATGCATAGTTATCTACTACAGCCTCGGAATTCAGGTTGYGTTTCTTCCGAGCCACGTGCACTATCGCAGTCAGTGCCTTTAAATTGTTTTTGTTTAAAGCTTTCTTACACACTTAAAAATAAAATGACTTTATGCTAGTGAGGGGAAGGCCATCCCTTCTTCAGATGCAGGAGTATTGTCTTTTTAGCAGTTCTTAGATTGTTCAACTTGGGTTTCCAATTTTAGTCAGGTTTAGCATCTCCTTTATTAATAATTGCCTAAAGCTCAGTGACATCCTTCCCATGGTAGGATATTTTTACCAACGGTGATCACAAGMATAGTTTTCAAGTGGATTATAAGGCCACTGACTTTGTATGTTTAATGCTATGTATGCAGATATTTACAGAAGTAGGACCTACGTGGTCATCCAACTTCCAATCTACATTTTTGAGATTTTCAGAGTGAAACATTCAGTAATGGGAATCTGTTGCAAACTTTGCCCTCCATGTTTCAGCACAGCCTAAACTCACGTGAGCTGAAGCAWTGTTTCCTCTGTGATTATAGAAAAAAAATGATAGCTTTCCCCCTTTTGAGTTTGGCTTGCCTAGCAGGCACATTGCTTTTAAGATATTTTTTTTCCTGCAAAGCAAGCCTGATTGAAATGGGGTTCTCGTTGAGGTTTGGGTTGTATTTTGCACTGCAACGCCTGGCAGCAGGATTTATTTTTTGTTTTTATGGTATTTCAGACATCTCTGCCGTCCTTGCCATAACCGGGAGAAAGCYAGAGGCCTCGGGAAGTACATTTGCCAGAAGTGCCACGCCATTATTGACGAACAGCCTCTCATATTCAAGAACGATCCATATCACCCCGATCATTTCAACTGTGCAAACTGCGGGTAACTGAAATCCGCGAAGGAAAAYGGGAAAATGCTGCTTTCCTTTACGTTATCCACCTACATTGTAGAGCGCTCTCCCGTGGGATTTGCCTGCCTCGCAGCCACACGAGCCAGGGCTGTGTCTGGTTGTCGCCTCCGGGATGGTGGAGCTGCCCTCTCGGCTCTCCCAGCTTGTGCCTTGAGGTGCCAGGGGCTGCAGCGTGGCCCGCAGGCGGCCCCGCGGGGAGCCACGGGAGATTCTGCGCTGCACGAAAAGGGGGTCTGAGAAAGTGTGAGCTCTGGGCAAAGCAATGGTTTCTGCAGCAGCAAAATCATAGCTTATTTTCCYGCTATGAAAGGAAAAAAAAAAGAAAATAAGTGATCTTCTTTGTTTGAGTTTCTGCTTTGTCTATGTTACTTCTTTTCAGTGAAGTGGTATGTGAACTTTGTTGTTTCCTATTGAAGCCAACCTTTCTGTTGGAAACTTCCTCCCATCTCATTTTATTAGTGTTTGCAAATGCAAATTATGCAGCTGTATGTTTCTGCAAGCTGCGCTGATGCACATGTGAAGATGCAGTACAGGCCATAACACAGATGTGTTAGTTGCCTGTTTCTGGTGCAAAGGAAGCTTTTYGTTTCAGTGCCGCAGCAAAGGCTGCTTTGAGAAACATCCCGTAGTTGGTGCCAAGGGCAGCCCGTCGAGAGCGTTGGTGATTGCAGTCACTTCTAAAGTTTATCCAGTTGCAGTATTGTAATCATGTCAATTATTAAAAAGCAGAGCATGTGCGATTCTGTACCTGCAAAAGAACAAGCATAACTGTCCCGTGTGGCTGCTTGTTCTTCTTTCCCTGAAACTTGATGCCACAGGGAAAATGTGCCTAAATGTAGAAGAGTCCATTTTACTTTCAATTATATTTATGTAAATCTAAAATAAACTGGTGATGATAAGGCTGGAGTACAAGCCAGACGTTTCTGCAGCTTTCAAACACAGTTGCGTCACATAACCAGAATACAGAATGACAGGATCTCACTATATTTGCCAGAGACTCAGCACACCTTGCTTAGCAGGCTTTTCTGAGTATACTGTGGTATCCATCTTGTTAATGAAAGTTACTGAATTTGATGCTGCTATTTAAATCAATTATTGCAGTATAAATACAGCTTCTGAAGTAAATGCTTAAAAATTGAATCTTCTTCCAGCAACACTGGTGAGTTGCAATTGTTTGGTTCCCTTATTCATCCTCTCTATTCAMTGACTTTTGCACAGGAAGGAGCTGACTGCTGATGCTCGTGAGTTGAAGGGAGAACTGTACTGTTTGCCCTGCCACGACAAAATGGGTGTCCCCATCTGTGGAGCGTGTAGAAGGCCGATCGAGGGACGTGTGGTGAATGCCATGGGCAAGCAATGGCATGTGGAGGTAGATGTCACATTGTTTTTATTGTCCTTCACGAATGTAACGYGCTCATCTGGAATTTTGCTGAGCAGTTTCAAAGAAAAGATGAGAAAATTCTGCAGAAATAGTTAATAAATGCATTCCTCYAATCCTGTCTTTACCCTTTTTGTGTCCAGTCTTCCTCTGTTAAGCAAGTCTCATTTCCTACCCCACATAAAGCTTCCACTGTGAAGCTAAAATCAGTAATCAAAGCAACCAACATGGGATCATTGTACAGGGAGATGCTGGTGTGCAAAGCGGTTTCCAGAAAGACAGTAACGTTCTGTGGGAGCCTCCTAATTAGCAGCCGTCAAGGTACTGTTGTACTTTGCATGGTCACCTGCCACACAAATATGTTTCAGTTCTTCATTGTGAGAGCTGCATGGCCACGTATGAGATTACATTTCAAGGCCTTGTGCGAGAGTAGTTCCACACATTCCATTTAAGTTAGGAAGATTCACAGACATTTTCCTTTGGTTGCTTTGAAAATGTTCTCTAGGAAATGCTTTCATCATGGAACTGTGATGATGTAAATTATTTAAAGTCTCTTCATATCAGAATCCCTTCTTTTTTAACTTTTAGATTAAAAAAGTGAAGACAGTAAAAGGAGCATTATATTGGTGCTGTAGGTATAGAAACAAAACAGTATTGTTTCTTCTTTCCAAGATGGTGCAATTCAATCAATAGTTTTTAATGATGTTCATTATTGATTTGATTGGTTCAATGTCCAGAGAAAAAAACATTACTTCCAACTAATACAAAAAAAAATTTGTACAATTTTCTTTACAGCATTTTGTTTGTGCAAAATGTGAAAAGCCATTCCTGGGTCATCGTCACTATGAGAGGAAAGGCTTGGCCTATTGTGAAACCCACTACAATCAGGTAAGGTTGCATATTTAAAAAATGTATTACTGGTAAACTTGTGATTCTGTTTTATTAATTCGAGATGATAAGTCATGAAAATCTCCTGTTTTCCTATATTCATCTGTGGGTGTACTGAAAATCAGCAGATGCTCTATTATAGTTAATTTATGAAGGCTTCTCTCTGCACAGGTCTGTCTGGCATGTAAAAAAACCCCAGTCTGCCAGAGGCTGGCCAGGATAATGAGCATCTATCTGGTTGCTCTCTAAGGTGCTAAGCTTACGTGGAGCTATTACGAGTCTTTTGTTTCTTCAAGATCCAAGTAGCTAATCAGACCCAGTCTTCCCCAGTAATCTAAAGCAGATTTGTCACTCCGTAGCTGTGCTATAACCCTAGGCCTTAGTGAGCAGCTGCTTTTCCTTACAGCTGTTACTCTAGGCTGCCTTTATGCTAAGATCTGCAGGGCCGGGCACTCGTGTGTTCCCCGAGGACTGCAGGCGCTGAATTCATTTGTCAGAGGACACCACCTAGTGACTATTTGCATTTACATAGGAGTCAGAGGCAGTGCTGCCATCTCATTCTAGACTCCCTTAACTGCGTAATGCAGTGGCACTATAATATATATATATTTTTTTTTATTAGTAGTACATTATTATTCAGAAGCCACCTGCAAGCTGTCAGGCACACTGCCTTGCTGGCAAATGCAAGATTAGGGATTACGTTTGGGAGTTGTATGGCATCTATTAATTACAGATGGATTTTTGATTTGTCGGTGACAAAGGGCAGATGACTGAAATGTTGCCAGCGTACTTGTAGATAATAAATGCCATAATGGCATTAATAATAGTGATGTTGCAGTCATGGTGGAGCAAGACCTTGCACCAGACAAGAATTGTATGTAGAACAGATGTCTTTTAGTAGGTCAGCTGTTACAGGTAGAAAAAGTACATGAAATTAGGAAAATACAGGCTCTTGGTGGACTGTAACACTGTGGCCAAATGTTAAGTGTCAAGGAAGAATAAATCGGGCMTAAATTTTCCTTTATTCAGAAGAATAAAAATGATCATTTCCCTGCTCTTTTCACCAGAAACAGCAATATATTTCKCTAGTCATGTGGGTAAATCCAAATGCTAAATTGGCTGGGTACTGATAATTTATTTATGACTCCAACTGATGTATTTCAAATGTTAAGGAGTAGAGGAATGTTAAGACAAAATCTCATTTAGAGAGGGTCATAAAGAAATATTTCCATCTTTAATGTTATGAAGATTGGTTTGCAATAAGATGTTGTAAGAGATTATTTGAAAACCAAACGAGTCTTACCAACATTCTCTTTATTTTACTGAATTAAACAGGAAAGCTATTGTTCTCATTAGCTGAAATACAGTAATTCTGTTAGAGAAACTACTGTGAATGAAACCATCTAATTAAAAATCCCTAACTTCTTCCTCCTCAGCTGTTTGGTGACGTGTGTTTCCACTGCAATCGTGTGATCGAAGGGGACGGTAAGCGCTTGTCTGCTTCCTTAATGCTTATTTTAATGGATGGTTCTCTTTAAAAGTGGAAAAGTCCTTATTTAATAGCCGATTGTTATCGTTGAAATATCAGCCTTCCTTATCAGAACTCAGATCAGATCTGATTACACAGGGACTGAATGGTGAGAAAACCTTAGAGTGTCCCATGATGCTGGGAGGAGAACCCTGGTCACCTGGAGACCCCCTAATGAACAGCAAGTGTCCAGGGTGGTAGGAGATGCACAGACATTCATCTCGCTGACTTTAATCTGGAACCGATATAATATAATATTCAGAGTGAGCATCTCAAACAGATTTAGGTATCACGATCCAAGCTGGAAAATAGAAAAGGATTTAGGTATCGGAAGATGTGGGTGGCAACCTACAGGATTTTTGTGTTTCCATGATTTCTAGTCTCCCTGAGTTCAGTTTGGTTCCTGGAGATCTTTGCCTATCTGCCATAGACACTGTGTTTTGAAAATCTGGACTGCTCAAACTATCACAAACCAGTTATACTTGGAAAGAAAAGGCAGCAGCTCATTAGCTGGAAGCAAGTGTTTTAAGTTTTTCAAKTTTTTTGTTTGTTTTGTTTGTTTTTGGATAGCTACTGATAAAATGGTCCAGTGATCAAAAAAAAAAGGGTCCAAGAGCAGATAATTTTACCTGAAATAATGAAAAGTGTTWATGTAACTAGTTACACCTACCTGAAGTAAATACCATATGCCATTGTTAGCCTCACCTAAGCCAAAGCCATTAGCAAGTGGGAGGAARCCTCTGGTGTGTAAAAGGAGACATAATCTAATGTGTAGTCATCTAAGTATAGGGTGGGAGCTGCATTGTCTGGACTRGACTGTACCTGCAGAACTAGAACACTCTTTGGGGGAAACACTGTCCTGCTTTTCATTAAAATCCAACTAAAATGAGCAGAACTGGAAACTGAGGTAAATGAATAAATTCAGCCTTGCTTGATAAGCTGGTACCTTTGTCCCTAATGTTACACCATATAATTTGACTCCGCTATTGTACTTTCAAGTCAACAACCTAAACAGAATGTAGTCATTTCTTCTTTTTTTTTTCAGTGTAATCTTTGATTATTTCACATTTCTTAACATCCTTTACATTTCTTAAAATCCTGCTGTCTTAAATGGTGAATGTCCTATATTGCTCTTTGCCTCTCTCTGTGGTAGAACAAACATGTGCAGCAGCAGGTTTTCAGGAGGATGTCTATGATTATTACAGAGAGTTCCAGGGAGGAAAGACTTCCATCTAACTGGCATTATTTTGGCAGGCAGTGAAATAACTGCTTTAATTGGCCACTTAGACAAACCATGCTTCTCTGGAAGTGCTTGCTCCATAGTACAGCAGTGCTAAAAGTGGAAAGAACTCTGCATGACAAGGCTCTGGTTTTGCTTGCTGTGGACAACATGTTGCATTTTAAGAGAAAAGCATACTCCTGCATCCTCTCGTTTAGATTAAGGAGAAACATGCAAATTTTGGCAAGGAAAAGTTGGAAGGTATATTGGAGGAGAGAGAGGACAAACGAGATTGTCGAAGTTTGTCATGATCATATTATGATGCAATTCCTCCCATTACATCCTTTTTTTTTTTTTTTTTAACATGCGTGGTGCTGGTTTACCAGCACTGTCCTGACTGCTGCTCTGCTTCTTCCACATCATATTTTTCAGCTGGGCAGGCACAACTCTTTATGCCATGGCAGTCAGAAAAGGATCGAAGCAGAAAGGAAACATGAAGACCTTTCTGCTGGATTGGTTTTCAGCTGGAGCCTCCTGCTCAAGTTTACCACGTAGCCTCACAAAGCAGTTACTTAAGGTCATTCATGATATGAAGTGGAAGCAAGTAGCAGGAGTCAGAAATATCTTAAACTGGCACTGCTGGCCAACACTCGTGCGGGTACCCTCAGAGGCAGCTTTATCACTTGCACAGAGGGCCCCTACAAGTACTTCCACATGGGCCTTCCGACTGTTGTCTTGTTCCTAAGTATTTGTAAGAGAATCAGGTGATAGTTCGTCATGTCTCATGAACACATGAGCTTAATTTTGAATACTTCTGTTTTCTGAAATGGTAATGGTTTCTTTTTTTCCCCCTTCTCCTAGTTGTGTCTGCTCTGAATAAGGCCTGGTGTGTGAACTGTTTCGCTTGTTCAACTTGCAACACTAAGTTAACACTCAAGTAAGTTTATCAGATACGTGTGATGCCTGCAAAACTTGTCAGTGGTCATCTTTAAAGTGTAGATGTTGCCTTAGTTTAACTAGTTTGGTTTTCACACCATAAAAAAATTGAGAAAAAACATGCATGTTTCTTTCTCTAGCTCCGTTTACTAATACACATCTCTCAGCAGTCTGCCAAGTTCTTCCTTCAGTTAATCTTATTCTTTTCTCTTTCGTCCTTTATTTTTCCTTTGTATAACTCTAAAGGGATAAGTTTGTTGAAATTGATCTAAAACCTGTCTGCAAACACTGTTACGAGAAAATGCCAGACGAATTTAAGCGACGACTTGCCAGACGCGAACGTGAAGCAAAGGAGAAAGATAAGCAGAAAAAGAAAAAGCCAATCTGTTTGTAAACTTTCCTTTCCTTCCCACCACCACCTCTGCTCTTTTCTTCTTTGGTCAGTGCTAAGGATGTTCTTACTCTTAAGGGTTTTTTTTTTGCATGTGTTTATGGCAATCAAAACTAAAATATGTGTTTCTACAGAATCTGAAATCTTAATTTGTTATTTCAGTTATCTCATGTTTAGCCTGTGGTACTCTAAAATTCAGTGTGAATGTCTTAAATGACACAGCTCATAAGTGAGAACATTTGAGTTCAAAGAAAAAAAAAAGTATCTCCCACCACAGAGTAATTTAATTACTTTCCACAACTTATAACCTTGTGAAATTAACTTCTTACATATGTATAAATTACAGTTGTAATTTTTTTGCCTGCGCATGTTAATTTGACTATTTTCAGAATCTCTGACACTTAAGACTTTGCCTGATTGGTTTTTGCTTTGTCATTTTAGGAATAAATTTGTGGAGTTTGATATGAAGCCTGTCTGCAAGAAATGCTATGAGAAATTTCCTCTAGAACTGAAGAAAAGACTCAAGAAACTAGCTGAAACTGTAGGAAGAAAGTRAAGACTGCTCTTCCCTTCTTTTATAAAATTACTATATATGTTACTTGAGGGATTTTTWTTCTGCTTTGAAACTGCGCTCAGACAAGTGATGATGCATGCCTTTTAATTATCACATGCAGGTATCTTCAAATCCCTTCAGATTTGTTGACATAAATCATACTAATAGAATAAATTATGTATCGACTCACCTGAAAGTATTTTCACCCTCATAATGCAGCTGAATAGATGCACTGCACACAAGAGTTTTTACAGAGTTCTACACAGAGGTAAAATTTGCTTGTAAATACTGCAAAAATACACTTTGCAAATGCAYCCAACTTCATGTCCACGTAGTGTCATTTATATAACTAGAAGTGTAAATGTGCAAACTTGAGCATGGACGTAGGAYTCTGAGTGACTTGGACAAGAAATTAAGTTGCCTTCTTTCATGGAGAAATCCTCTGATAGCTTCTAGTCCAAACAGTCCCACTAAYGAGCCTTCAAACAGCTTGAAAAATGACAGGTTTCTAAACATAGTCACTGCAGAAATTATCTCCCTTTAGTAGATTATGCTTATACGATGAATCATTGTACATCAGGCTTAGCATGAAATATCTATATTAAATATGTATTCCTACCGCAAGAAATGAGCATTCAGAACTACTTGAATTTTGCTATATTCCATATAGAATAACTTCTTAACTTTTATATATACTTTTGCATTTTATTTACTTTTTGTGCCTTATTCTGCTGGACCATAGATAATAATGTTCCATTATATATATATATACAGTTTTATTTTTATTTCATATTTTTATGCAGAAATTATATACCTGGTATCTTCAAAAGATAACATGCTTTGCCTTAATTACGTAGGATTCAAGAAATACCATGTTTCAGATGTGAACACCTGAGGCTAAAATCTAGCTTTTAGGCTTTGTTAMTTTTTAGAAGAATATTGAAAATGCATATTTCAATTAAGTGGCAATATTACTTTTACACTAGTGAGTGTAAATACGTTTGGTTTGATCCTGATGGGATCTGTTTCTTTAGCCATCATCAAGGACTAAGATCACAGATTAGCAGACTTCCTTATAACATTAACTGTTTTATACTATTGACTTCTGTCCTTGCAAATCTTCCTKATATAAAAACAAAACAAACAATTGCTTAAGAATTGTAGTGATATTRCATTGTCAAGTATGCAAACATTTTTTTTCTTATTATTAGTGACTTGAATTGATTTTATGTAGTTACATCATGGCAGTTAAAATTTCCTTTCCTGTTTATGAAAAGAATAGTTGGTTTAAAACACCTGCTTTGTGGTGTCATCAATAAAGGCTCTGTTATTGTAACTTGTTATTGTCTCTCTGAAATGAGTGCTTGAGATGTGTGGGAAAGCAACTAGTCTCCCTTTGCTCCRTATGCTTTAGGTGTGACTGTATATTTACATACATTTATAGATGTGCTATTCCCAGGGTATCTCACTTTTATTCAGATTTTACGTTTATGAAAGAAACTGTGGTTTGTTTCGAAAAGATTATTTTGTCTGTTTGCTGAACAGACACACTTGTTTTCTCAGATAMAACAACTTATCCAGGTTTAAAGTATAAACTTTCCTGTCATATTTTTCTCTCTCCTGTTTTCACTGTAATGTAATTTCAGTTTTCTAGCTTAACACTAGATAGAGCACTTCTGAGTAGTTTTTTCCTGTAGAGTTAGTGAATGCAATGCAGTTCAGTACTTACTATGTTCAAGATTAGAGAAAGCAGCAAGTTCCCAAAAATGTTTGAACAGCCAGCATAGTAACAGTGTTGGATTGTTGGACTATGTTGTGGATTTGATAGATCATATCAGCAATGCTTCACTTAAATAGTAATTTTTCTATAATAATAGGGTTTTTTAAAAAAAAGTTATGCTGAGTTTTTCAGTACTTTTACCTTCTTCCTTCAACCTATGTCTTTTTGAGCAGCCTTTCTGCTCAAAAAGAGTTTGAAAGCCATCYCTAGCCCTGAGGCCATGAACTCGCTTGCATTCACATGCGCATCGTTGTGTCTCTCCAGGACATGCTGCTCCTGTTAGCACCATGTAGCCTACGTGTTGCACGTAGGTTCTCCCACAGACTCAGACCTCATGATGCAGCATTAAGGGTGTCTGGGAGTACTTGAGGGTTCAAAGGCTGCTGATAATCATCATGAAAAAGCTAACTCAAAGCAGGGCTAACTTCAAAGCGGGGTCAATGCTCAAGTCGCTCTTGTCAAGTTTTGAGCATCTCCAAGAAAGCAGATTGCAGAAGTCTCTGTGGGCAATAGGTGCCATTGCTTAAACAYACTCATGGTCAAGTATTTTTATGATTAGTGTTCGAGTCCTGTCTCGAATGGAGGGCTCTTCAGCYCCACGCTGCTCTTTGGGAATGCTCTTCTGAGTGACCTGTCACTGAAGTCATACCTCTGCACAGTGCCGCAAAGATGATTAATTAAAAGCAATGCCAGGGAGCGAGCTAGCAATTAAGCAGCCTGCACAATGACAGGTCTGCTGTTGAAGCTCACTTCCTGGCCTGTCAGTGTTACAAATACTTCACATAGCTGGGAATTCTTTCCCGAAAAGTGCTGAGTTTATTATTGTTTTCGTACCCACAATCCGTACTCTCGAAGAAGGTCGCACGCTGGGATTTGGGAGTGAACACCTCAAAAGATGTTCACCATTTCTACTGTGTAGGATGGATCATGCATAGGCTTCCTGTTGAAGCCCACGCTGAGAATCACAGCAGATTAAAAAGCCAAATGGATGTAGCTGTAGGGGGGAAGGAGCTGAGCCGGCCTCCAGCAGTGGCAGACCTGTGCTTTGCTCCAGCTCGGCGGCGCCTTGGGCGGTGGCAGAGCCGAGTTGTGGCTGCAGGGCCAGGAGCGGAGCCTGGTGCCCTGGTACCGCGGCCACGCCGGGGACAACGCGGGCTGCCACCTCCCGGGGGGACAGCAAAGATGGCACCAGCGCCACGTGTTGGCRCCTCTCTGTGTGAAGGCGGTCGCACACATGGAGCAAATTAAATATCTGTAGCTATATAAAAGCTAATAATGAAAAAAAGGGGGGGAGGGAGTAACTCAGGGTGTTATGTTGATGCTGCTGCTCTCCACAGCTGAAGGCCCTGGAGAAAAAGGGTTCTCGCTGTAGCKGGGGGAGCATTTGGAAGCCTTGTCTCCCCGTGCGCGGGATCTCGGCAGTAGAGCTCACACGTGTGGGTTAAACTCGTAGCTGCGCATGAGTCACCAGACAGTTTTAGGTGAATAAAAAGTCTGTTTCCCACCCACGTTGCCATCCCTCGCGAAAGCGTAAGGGCCGTGGGGGCCCTCACGCCCCTCGCGTCACAGCAGCGACGAGGCAGACGCGGTAAACCCGCGAGCAGGCCGCGAACAGGCCGCGAACCGCCCTCCCCGGGCCGCCTCCGCGCAACTGCGCCACGCGCGGCGCGCCGGGCCCCAACGGCCGCCGGCGGCGCTGCGCATGCGCGGCGCCTCCCCCCGCTCCCGCGCGCCGCCGCTTGCGCAGAGGCCCGCGGAGGCGGCGGGTGGGGAGAGGCTGTCGCGGCCGCTGCGCCCCTTCCTCCTCCTCCTCGTTCCTCTCCCTCTCGCCTTCCCTCCCTCCCTCCGTCTCCGGGCGGCGCGGCGCCATCATGAGGCGCAGCAGGGCCGACGTGGAGCGGTACGTGGCGTCGCTGCAGGCCGCGGCGTCCTCGCCGCGAGAGGTGAGTGCGCGGGAAGCGGGGCAGGCCGCTCGGCCCGGCCTGGCCTAGCCCGGCCTGGCTCGGCTCGGCCCGTCCCGGCCGCCCTCGGGGTCTGCTCCAAGCCCAGGGGGGTCGGGGAGCCGTTGGGAGGAGCAGGAGGAGGAGGGTCCCTCGCTGCGGGGCTCTCCCCAAGCCCCGGCWGCTCTGCCGGCGCTGGGCGCCGCTCCCCAGCGCGGTGCGGAAAGCTCCTCCGCGAGCCCGGGAGCCTCCCGAATTCCTCRTTTCCCCAGGAGCGCAGGGCCTGCCTGGGGAGCGGGTAGGAATAAATGGGGAACACATGTGCCTAGACTTTCGGTTTCCTTTCATGTGTTTCGCGACTAGTCTTTCTCTCTTTGTATGACTGTTTCTTTGAAATAGTAGTGCTTAGAAAACAACTGAAAAATTGTATTCCTGTCTAGCACTTGGAAAGAAGGTTGAAGAGCTCTGTGTTATTGGTTACTTTTCTGTCAAATCTAGAAAATAGTGTACGGGTCAGAATGGTAAGCAGATTGATGCAGTTCATGAAAACTATTTAATCCTGTAAGGTTTAGAAGAGCAAACAGTTTTGCTCTTCTAAAATGGTTTATTACAGAACAAAAAATATTTAGTGGTGTCCTGTATGTCATGAATGAAGCCATACTCACCACTGGGCACAAATCCAGATACAAGAAGTTTCATTTAAGCTTARGAAAAAACTCTTTGTATGGTGAAGATTGTCAAATACTGGGAGAAGTTGCCAAAAGTTGTGGAGTCTCCATGCTTGGGTACATTCAAAACCTGACTGGAAAAGGCCCAGAGATGCTCTTCAATATTTCTGTTGCACTTTCTAAAATGCTTTTATCTCTGTTGTGGTAAAGTTTTACTATTTTTGTTTAATGACAAGTGCTTTTGAACTGATACTGGGAGATCAAGTGAAGTTCTTTAAATTTCTATCATGTTTCTAAAGTAGTGAAAACTTTATCATGAGGTCCCTGCTTGTGATGAAGACAGCAGTTTGCTAGCCATGAAGAACTAGATACTAATAGATCCTTGCATAAGCCGTTGCCATAGTCTATTTTTAATTCCYGAAAGTAGGAAGTTGATCTATTACACAGTCTCTTTAAATGTTTCAAAGCATCAAATTAATCGTTTTCTGATTTGGATTTTTAAATACAAGTGTGATAGGAGTCCTGCTGCTGTTKTGAGAATAATTTGTATGCATTTAGTGAGATAGGTACTGAGCCTTCTGATTTTTGTGGCTATGGAAGCTTGCCAGGAGCTGAAGGTGAGGTCTAGCTTGTGTAAAATGTTACATTAGTTTTGGTTTTAATTTCCATGCTTTTGCATCATCATTTCCTTGAATCTCTGCTGCGCAACCTTCTGTCACCTTCTCTTTTTGCCTGGTGTGTACACCTACATACATATGTATCGTCCCCTTCCATCCTCCTTTTTCAATTCCTTTTCTCCTTTCCCTTCTCTTTTCTTTATGTATCCAAATATACCTTTAAAGACTTTGCTATCTATGCGTCTACTGAAGYTACCTTTGACTCATAGCATCTCTAGTGAGCATCTGCAGGAATGCATTCCTTACCCTTTGGAGCTGTCATGAAGGCCATGAGTGACTTGGTTGAGGAAACCCAGTTTCTGTCCACAGTTAAACAGAAGTTTCTGGTGACAGTATATTAAAGCAGGACTGAAGGACAAGTTTTCGTTCTTGTTGAGTATCTTTTTTCTTCACAGGCAGTAAGATACGTTGTGGCAAAAAAAAAAAAAAAAAAAAAAAACTGATTGAATGTAGCTTATCCCATTCTTCTTCCACTTTGTGTCACAAGTTTTTATGAACTGTGGCAATAGAAGGGTTTGTTGCTTTCTTTTACTCGCTCATTTTTCCTGTTCACTGGCAAAGGATACTAGGCTATGACTTTTTATTTTAGTTCTGCATCTACCAAAAAAGCCACAAAACTTCATCTGTGAGAAGTGGGCTTGAGCWGATAACTATTTATTAAACTCAGTCATTTATGCGGCTTTGTTCTAAAAAGGGCAGTCTATGTATTTAATTATTTTTCAAGTGCTGTGTATTTAAAACATATTTAAAACATGCTTATCTTTTTTTCTCCACCTTCAGAAATCGATGAAAGGATTCTTTTTTGCAAAGCTGTATTATGAAATAAAAGAATATGAACTCGCTAAAAGGTAACATATATTGATGTGTATTGTTCTGTTTTCTCTCGTGAAGTAGTTACCTGCTTTAGAAAAGAGCTTAATGAGCATGAGATATACCAGATCAAGATCAGTATCGTGGCTTTAAGACAGCAGTAAATGTAGGTATTTGAGTGCCTTGTAAATCTTTGTAAAATAGCACTCTGAAAGAAAAAAAGTTATGTGGCACTAAAACTCTCTTTTTTTTTTCTTCTGTTGTACTAGGTAGTTCCTACAGTTTCTGTAAACTTTTTTTAATAAGCACAAATGAATGAATATTGAGAATGAATAGCAAATGTACATGTAAAAATAATGTAATTTAGTAATTTTGTTCCTTCCTTTAAGATCCAGAAAGAAACCAAGAACAAAATATGTCTGTATTTCCTGAGCAATGGATTAGGTTAACACTGTACCTGT